GAGTTGATGGGTGCAGCAAACCAACATGACACATGTATACCTATGTATCAAACCTGCATGTTGTGTACATGTACCCTAGAACTTAAAGTATAATAATAATAATAAAACAGAGACAGAGAGAGCAAGTTTGGGTGGCTAACACTTTAAGGTTTATAATTATTTTATTAACTTTTTATTACTACAAACATAATAAATTGGTTAAAAATGACAGACTAAGCACACATTCAGCTTCTCTCTCCTGCCCAAAATCCAAGAATGAATTTTTTTTTCAAAAATGTATAACATGCATGGAAGCCAAAGCAAGAATGGCCTTGGTGGATCAGAAACGAATAGTTCCTAAAAATCCAAAGGCAGATGTAACCAGGCGGAATGAGGAACATGCAGGACACAGTTGCTATAAAGGTGAAAACGGCATTATATCCCCATATAGGATGTATCCCAGAAATTAAAAGATGTATTAACATTATTTTCATGAAAAATATGAAAAAGCAGCCATGAACAAGACTCCTGCATATCCCTGCTACTTTTCAACATTGCAAAAAAGGTCCTAAGCAATGTAATAAAATGAGAAAAAGAGAAAAAAGATAAGAATAGGCATGAATGAAAATAAAACTGTCCCAGATACGACAGTCTACCTAGAAAATTCAACAGAATCAATTGACAAACTATTAAAACCAAGAAGAAAGCTTAACACATGGTCAGATACAATAACATCATACAAAAAACTACAGCTTTGTGTAGCACCAGCAATAAGCAATCAGAACTATTCCATTTTGCATAACTTCTTTTTTCAATTAAAAATGTACAGACACAGTTGAAACTCCTTGTGCACTTCTTCCCCTTTCCATTAAACTCTCTCTGTCCACTTTTACAATCACTGTCTTGCATTTGGAGTTTTTCTTTCTCATGCATGCTTTTTGTATGTCACCATATGTGTGTGTACTTAAAAATCTATAGTAATGTATATTGTTTGAAATTATTTCAAAATAAAAGGTAAAAATATACATAATTTTGCAAATTGAAAAGTTATATACAAATGGTATTAGATTTTATATACAATATATAGCTTTCTCATGCAACTTCATTTTACCCTTTAATATCTTTAGACTTATTCAACTGGTATTTGTACATGTATATTGACATTCTTTCTCATTATCTGGTGTTGCAGGAAGTCAAGGACCCCGAACGGAGGGACTGGCTGAAGCCACGGCAGAAGAACATAAATTGTGAAGATTTCATGGACATTTATTAGTTCCCCAAATTAATACTTTTATAATTTCTTACGACTGTCTTTACTGTAATCTCTGAACATAAATTGTGAAGATTTCACGGACACTTATCACTTCCCCAATCAATACCCTTGTGTTTTCCTATGCCTTTCTTTAATCTCTTAATCCCATCATTTTCTTCGTCAGGTGAGGAGGATGAATGTCACCTCAGGACCCTGTGATTGTGTCAACTGCACAGATTGTTTGTAGAGCATGTGTGTTTGAACAATATGAAATCTGGGCATCTTTAAAAAAGAACAGGATAACAGCGATGTTCAGGGAACAAGAGAGGTAACTTTGAACTGGCCGCCAGTGAGCAGGATGGAACAGAGCTATATTTCTCCTCTTTCATAAGCAAATAGGAGAAATATTGCTGAATTCTTTTTCTCAGCAAGGAACATCCCTGAGAAAGAGAATGCGCTCAGAGGGTAGGCCTATGAACGGCCCCCTTTAGAAGTGTGCCGTCTTTTATGGTCGAAGCCGAAGGGATGAAATAAGCCCCGGTCTCCTGTAGCGCTCCCAGGCTTATTAGGACGAGGAAATTCCCGCCTAATAAATTTTGGTCAGACGGGTTGTCTGCTCTCAAACCCTGTTTCCTGATAAGATGTTATCAATGACAATGCGTGCCCAAAACTTCATTAGCAATTTTAATTTCACCCCATCTGGTGGTCCTGTGATCTCGCCCTGCCTCCATTTGCTTTGTGATATTTTATTACCTTGTGATGGTGATCTCTGTGACCCACACCCTATTCGTGCACTCCCTCCCCTTTCGAAAATCGCTAATAAAAACTTGTCCGTTTTACGGTTCGGGGAACATCACGGATCCAGCCGACATGTGATGTCTCCCCTGGACACCCAGCTTTAAATTTCTCTCTCTTGTGCTCTTTCCCTTTATTTCTCAACTCAGCCAAGACACACAGGAAATAGAAAAAGAACCCTTGTTAAACATTGGGAGCGGGTTCTCCCGATAATCTGGAGTCAATATGAATGTCTACTTTTTTTTGAAATATACTGTTTCTTTCATTTCCAGAAATACTTATATGATAGAAAATGCATCTCAAAGAATATATAGGTTAAAGGATATATAGGTTAAAGACAAATATCACAATGGAAGTACAAAGCAGTCAGTTTGGAAAAAATTGTAAATAATCTCAATGTCCATCAAAAGGAAGAAGGTTAAATAAAGCATGCTACATCTACAACATAGAAAATAATTTTACAGTATTTAAAAAGAATGTAGTGAATCTAAATGTACTGACATGGAGAGATTTTCAGGACATAAAAGAAAATATAAAACAATATGACTCCTTTCATGTTGTAAAGTTGTGTATTTTTAATCACATATATAGAAATGTATTTTAGAAAAACAGAAAACTAATAACATCGGATGCCTTTGACTAAGTGAATAGGTTTGAGGGAGGTGAAAAAAGATGGTTTTACTGCCTATTGTTAGATTTTTTAAAATAAGAATATGTTTTATAATTGTTAGTAGAAAAAATTGATGATCCATAGATATACAAATACTAGACCCCAAAAGAGTAGTCAAGAATAGACAAAGAACCGGCCGGGCACAGTGGCTCACCCCTGTTATCCCAGCACTTTTGGAGGCCGAGGCGGGTGGATCACTTGAGGTCAGGAGTTTGAGACCAGACTGGCCAACATGGTAAAACTCCGTCTCTACTAAAAATAAAAAAATTAGCCGGGGGTGGTGGCGCATGCCTGTAGTCCCAGCTACTCGGCAGGCTGAGGCACGAGAATCATTTGAACCCAGGAGCCGATGGTTGCAGTGAGCCAAGATTGTGACACTGCACTCCAGCCTGGGAGACAGAGTAAAAAAAAAAAAAAAAAAAAAAAAAACAGAATAGACAAAGAACCAACTCCCAGGGCACACAATACAGTAAAAGCTGTACTATATTATACACTTTTTAAATGGTTATAATTGGTATCCTTATGACCTAAAACTGTCACTGAAGTTTCCTTTCTAATCTATGCTTTTATGTATATTTGTTTAATTGTGATACAGGAAAGCAAGACAAATAGTTGTAATGAACATACTTACTGACAGATCTGAAAGTTTTGGGTCGGAGAAGACAACCATGAAAATTCAAACGCAGCACATTTAAACGCCACCTTTGCAAAGTAGACAGTATATATTTATCTGGAATCACATTTTTCACTGTGGAAAAATCAATCTAAAAAGAATAAACAAAATGCATTAAGAAATGAGAAAGTACCCAAAAACAATTGCAACAAAAACAATAATAGACAAATGTGACCTAACTAAAGAACTTCTGTACAGCAAAAGAAACTATCAATGAAGCAGACAGACAACCTACAGAATGAGAGAGAATATTTGCAAACTATACATCCAACAAAGGCCTAATATCCAGAATCTATAGGGAACTTAAATCAACAAGCAAAAACAACCCCATAAAAATAGCCAAAGTACATGAACAGACACTTCTCAAAAGAAGAAATACAAGTGGCCAAGAAACAGATGAGAAAATGCTCCGCATCATTATCAGATAAACGCAAATTGAAATCACAATGAGATCGGGCACAGTGGCTCATGCCTGTAATCCCAGCACTTTGGGAGTCCAAAGTGGTGGATCACTTGAGTCCATGAGTTCAAGATGAGCCTAGCCAACATGGCAAAACCCCATCTTTACTAGAAATACAAAAATTAGCCAGGGGTGGTGGTGCACGCCTGTAGTCCCAGCTACTCGGGAGGCCAAGGCATGAGAATTGCCTGAACCTGACAAGTGGAGGTTGCAGTGAGCTGAGATTAGACCAATGCACTCCTGCCTGGATGACAGAGCAAGACTCTGCCACGAAAAAAAAAAGATACTGTCTCATACCAGTCAGAATGACTTTTTTTTTTTTTTTTTTTTTTTTTTAAGACAGAGTCTTGCTCTGTCACCAGACTGGAGTGCAGTGGCATGATCTTGGCTCAGCTCACTGCAACCTCTGCCTCCCAGGCTCAAGCGATTCTCCTGCCTCAGTCTCCTGAGTAGCTGGGACTATAGGCACATGCCACCACGCCCAGCTACTTTTTGTATTTTTAGTAGAGACAGGGTTTCACCAGGTTGGTCAGGATGATCTTGATCTCTTGACTTCATGATCCGCCTGCCTTGGCCTCCTAAAGTGCTGGGATTACAGGTGTGAGCCACCATGCCCGGCTCAGAATGGTTATTATTAAAAAGTCACACAACAACAGATTCTGGCAAAGTTGTGGAGAAAAGAGAACACTTATACACCATTGGTGGGAATGTAAATTAATCTGACCACTGTGGGAAGCAGTCCAGAGATTTCTCAAAGAACTTAAAACAGAGCTACCATTCAACCCAGTAATCCCATTACTGGGTAAATATCCAAAGAAAAATAAATCATTCTACCAAAAAGACACATGCACTCATATGTTCATCTCTGTGTTACTCACAATAGCAAAGATGCGGAATCAACCACATATTCAATCAATAGTACATCGAATAAAGAAAAAGTGGTAGATATACACGACGGAATACTGCATAGCCATAAAAAAGAATGAAATCATGTCCTTTGCAGCAACACAGATGGAGCTAGAGGCCATCATCCCAAGCAAACTAATGCAGAAGCAGAAAACTAAATACTGCATGTTCTTACTTATAAGTGAAAGCTAAACATTGAGCATACACGAACATAAATATGGGAGCACATCTGCATATTTATGTGGACTACTGGAAGGTGGGGGCTGGTTTAGAAAAACTACCTATTGGGTACTACGTTCACTATCTGGATAATGGAATCTGTACTCCAAACCTTAGCATCACATGATATTCCCAGGTAATAAACCTGAGCATGTACCCCTTATATCTAAAACAAAAGTTGAAATTATTTGAAAAGAAATAAGATCTGTTTCATGTAAAAATTTAAAATATTTTAAAGCGTCTAGTACTAAAAGCTCTTCATCACATCATTTCCAGACAGAAAAAAAGACTGAAATGTTAGTTTGAATGTTCTATTTAGTACAGTATGGAAATTTCAGCACATACACACATACATTTTTGCTTGTTCCCAAAAATGATTTGAGTTGGCTGATAAAAATATAGTAAATTAGGATAAAAAACGTAAATGCAAAATGGTTTCCTGACATATAATGTTCAGTCTCTCTTGTGAGTTGAGATACATTAATTAAAATAACAATGTGATATCAGATATAAAAAAAAGTATAGGCCTGGAATGGTGGCTCACACCTATAATCCTAGGACTTTGGAAGGCCAAGGAGGGTGGATCACCTGAGGTCAGGAGTTTGAGACCAGCCTGATCAACATGGTGAAACCCTGTCTCTACTGAAAATACAAAAATTAGCCAGGTGTGGTGGCGTGCACCTGTAATCCCAGCTACTCAGGAGGCTAAGGCAGGAGAATTGCTTGAACCCAGGAGGCTGAGGTTGCAGTGAGCTGAGATCGTGCCACTGCATTCCAGTGTAGGTGATAGAGCAAAACTCCATCTCAAAAAAAAAAAAAAAAAAAATAGAGAGAGCTAAGGAAATTTGGGGGCAAAAAGTACTCCATAACTCCACACAATTTTGTGACTTTACATACACACACACACACACACACACACACACACACACACACATATATATATAATTTTTTAGGGGGGACAGAGTCTCGCTCTGTTGTCCAGGCTGCAGTGCAGAGGCATGATCTTGGCTCACTGCAACCACTGCCTCCTGGGTTCAAGTGATTCTCCTGCCTCAGCCTCCCGAGTAGCTGGGATTACAGACACCCGTCACCACGCCCGGCTAATTTTTGTATTTTTAGTAGAGATGGGGTTTCACCATGTTGGCCAGGCTGGTCTCGAACTCCTGACCTCAAATGATCCACCTGCTTCAGTCTCCCAAAGTGCTGGGATTAGAGGCATGAGCCACCATGCCTGGCCAATTTTGTGATTATAAATGAATCCAACCTTTGCCTTAACAATTCTACTTCTAAGAATTTATCCTGCCAATATAATCATACATGTATACAACGAGACACTGAGAAACAGGATATTCACCACAGGATTTTATTAACAAAAGATAGTAAGCAACCTAAATGTCTTTCGATAGGAGACAGATTAAATAAATTGAGTGACTTCCATATAACAAACCACTGGACAAAAGCTGAATTCAGGGCAAAAAAGCACAACTCGGAAAGAGAAAACCTAAAGCAATAGAGTCCAAGTGTGCTGCTCTCTGGTTGGCTGATTCAATTCAGGGACAAAATGCACAGTATCTAGAGGACTTACTTGACCCGAACGCTTCATGAATATTACTCATTAATGCCAAGCGTTTTATGAAAGTTGGGTCTCAGAGCTCAAGGTTATATCATTGTTAAAGAACCTTAAGAGGAGAAATTCTATGCTGCCAGTTAGGGGAAAGGCAAATGGCAGACCTGGCATTCCCTTATAAATAGTTGATAATTAAGAACACATACTTTCTAGTCAGACAGATCAGAATGTGAATCCCATCCTAGCCATTTAACCATGTTGGCTATGACTTAACTAAGGCTTAGTTTTTTTCCATCTGTAAAATGGGAAAAATAATAGTGCCTAACTCAGGAGGCTGAAGAGACAAACTGAGAAAATGCAAATAAAATACTTAGTGTAGCATCTGGCATATAAGAAAGCATTCAATAAATATTAGCTACTATTATTACTTCAAAAAGACATGACAAAGCACACAAAATATGGAGTACATAAATTTTAAAAAGCATGGAATAGGACTAAAATAAACAACACATAAATCATATTTGACATTCTTGGTGTGTCTGCATGCATGCAGAAACACATACACTCTGTCATTTTCTAATATGAACTCCTAGGCTGGCACTTATGTACTATTCTTGCCACAGAACTATTTTTTAACCTGAAACATGTTTGTGTTTCTCATTCCAAAGAGACATTGAGGAGAGGACTCAGTCAACAATAAAAAATAAGCAAATAAGCACACATCCCCCAACAACTTCTCTTGTCTGTTTCTTGTAAGATACTTTAATATCAACAAACATGGTCATTTACACCATCAACCAATGTTCAGTGGCAACATTTTCCCTGTTGTCTAAAGTCCAGTCAATAGCTGACTTCACAACCCCTCCTTAGTGCTAATGATTGAAGCACTGATGATATCACGTGCTCAGACTGACCTATGAATAGGGGGCCTGGCGCCATTTTGTAGAAGCTCTAAAACTTAACTCAAAGAAATTAAAAGGAGTTGAGAAGGTGTCAGGGGCTTTAGCTTCATAAGTTAACTCAACATCTTTACATCGCATCTGGACACCATCCCATTCTCGGTTGCACTACTCTCGCACTGTGCAACAATGGCAAGAAAAGAACTGATTTCATCTTACCAAACCTATCTTAGCTAACAAATTAGGTGTTCCTGTCTTAATTTTATTTTTAGTTTAACGCGGTGATTCTCGAACGTTAGCGTGCATCAGAATCATCTAGGGGGTTGTTAAAACAGATTACTGTTTGCTACCCTAAGAGTTTCTGACTCAGTAGGTCTGGGATGGGGCCTAAGAATTTGCTTTTCCAACAAGGTATTGGGTGATGCTGATACTACTGGTCCCAGGACCACACTTTGAGAACCACTGGCTTAAAGTGATAAATCTCTAAATTACATTACAGATATTTGGGGATGTTGCTTTTTCCTTCGGAAAACCTATAAAGAAGAAAAAAATGCATCCAAATGGTCTAGAGGAGAAAGAATATATACAATATTTCGATCATGACATGTCTTGAGGAAGCTGGCAGGAGTTAGAAAAAGCCAACACTTCTGCCCAGAGACCTCACTGGATAAAGATGGAGAGCATTATAAGCACATGGCAGTGAGGAATGAAGCCAGGGTAGGAAGTTAGTGCTTTATGTTCAGCAAATTTCTCTTTCCACAATTGTATGTTGCTCCATCCTCCTACTTCTGCTTTTATTTGTGAGTGTTCAAATGTGGCACAATTATAATCAGCATTTTTAGCACAAACAGTAACTTTATTCAGAAGGCAATGAGAAGTTGCCTGTTCACAGGCAATTGGATGTTCACAAACGTAAATTTTCAGCTGACAATATTAGCAATACTGTGATATCAATGTTATTGTTTATCAATCAGCCCTGGCCACTCCAAAAACCTCTGCCCTTATCAGTTTTGCATACAATCACCCAGGTACACTAAGGTCATCCTTGTAATCCTCTCTTTTTTTTTTTTTTTTTTGAGACAGAGTCTCGCTCTGTCGCCAAGCTGGAATGCAGTGGTGTGATCTTGGCTCATTGCAACCTCTGCCTCCTGGGTTCAAGCAATTCTCCCGCCTCAGCCTCCCAAGTAGCTGGGACTACAGGCACACACCACCACGCCCAGCTAATTTTTAGAGACAAGGTTGGCCAGGATGGTCTCAATCTCTTGATCTCGTGATCTGCCTGCCTCGGCCTCCCAAAATGCTTGGATTATAGGCGTGAGCCACAGCGCTCAGCCAATCCTCTCTTTTCTTTTTTTTTTTTTGAATGATACAGAGTCTTGCTCTGTTGCCCAGGCTGGAATGCAGTGGCACAGTCTCGGCTCACTGCAACCTCCACCTCCCAGGCTCAAGCGATTCTCCTGCCTCAGCCTCCTGAGTAGCTGGGATTACAGGCAACTGCCACCGTGCCTGGCTAATTTTTGCATTTTTAGTAGAGACAGGGTTTCACCACGTTGGGCTGGTCTCAAACTCCTGACCTCAGGTGATCCACCTGCCTTGGCCTTCCAAAGTGCGAGGATTACAGGCATGAGCCACTGTGCCCAGCATAATCCTCTCTTTTTAATGGAAATAACCCTTCCAAAAATTATGAGTTAAGAAAAAGCTGTTGCACACCTCACACTCTAAACATCTTTCCCATAGTCATGGACTCAACATATAGTCTATGCTCATGAAAAGGAAGTAGGCACACAGTAATAAAACCAGAATGGAGTACAAACTATCCAATAAAATGGAGCTTTGTTTCGATCCAAAAATGATATTCATTTATATCTACCATTTACATTTTAAAATACTAATGATGTATCTCTTAAAATGGCATTACTATCTTTTTTATCTCTTCCCCCAGGCTTGTGCCTGGACAAAAGAAAACCAAATTCACTTGCTGCTGGTGACCACAGAGCAGGGAAGAAGGTGTCCCCACAACAGTTGGCTTCACAGCAGTCCATTCTCCTTTTAAGAATTAGTGTGAAGACATAGTTCAGTTAGTATCTACTTACAGCATTCCACAGTGAGTTCAGCTGTGTCATCAACATCCAGGCATGATTAACTTGACCACATATTATCACATCTTTTAAACTGAGGTAGAAGAAAATCTAAACACAAAGAAAAATACACAACTTTGAAAAATATGTGAACTTTGATGTAACTTGTCCACTTACCTTCTGTGTGTGTGTGTGTGTACACGCACATGGGTGCACACATGCATTAGTAATGATAATGTAATCCATACTTTGCAAATAGCAAGAGTTTAAGTGCTAGAATTTTATCTCAAGACAGGAGTTTTATCTAAAGTACTGGAACCTATCTGCTGACTCTTTTTATATAATATAATCCTTGTGATTGATAGTTGCAGAAGGATGGTGAGAAAGATAAGCATATTTGTTTTATTTTTTGAATGAAGATAGAATTCTGCCAGAAAACTAATGATTTCCATAAATAGTCATTGGTACATAGAAGGCAATCAATACCATCTGCTGAACTGAACTGCATTCCTTCTAAAGATGTAGGATTCCTCAGAGAAGAAAAAAAAAGGATTCCTGGGAAAGAGCAATAAACACATTTTGGCTTCTACTTCTGGAAATGTGGTAGACCAAAAAACCAGGAAATCCTTCTGGTACAAAACATCAATAAATGCTAAAAGAAACATTTCTTAAAAGCATAATTCAGTTGTCAAGAAAGTAAAACAAATATGCAAGGACCCAATCCTTGTAAACCCAGACTGATAATAAGGTGCTTCATGCTATAGTTACTTGGGAGGGAGGAACAATAAAGATGGTTGCTACTTTTCATAATAAAATGGGTTCAGATTTTACTGGCCATGCAGAGACACAAGACAGTCATCAGGCCTGTACAAAGCTGGTACAGCCATGCTCTGGATAATGATGTTTCAGTCAATGATGGGCTGCATGTATGACAGTGGTCCCATAAGATTATAATGGAGCTGAAAATGTTCTATTGTCTAGAGTCATCATAGCCATTGTAATATCATAGCACAATTACTTAATTTTTAAATAAATCTAGTGTAACCTAAGTGTACACTGTTTATAAAGTGTAGTACTCTATCTGTAGTTGTGTACAGTAATATCCTAGGCCTTCACATTCACTCAACACTCACTCACTGACTCACTTAAAGCAACTTCTAGTCCTCCATTGATAAGTGCCCTATATAGGTGTGCAGTTTTAATGTTTTTTACCATACTTTTATATGTTTAAATACATACTTACCATTGTGCTACAATTGCCTACAATATTTAGTACAGTAACATGCTGTACAAGCCTGTAGTCTAGGAGCAATAGGCTATACCATACAGCCCAGGTGTATACTGGATTATACCATCTAGGTTTGTGTAGCACACTCTATAATGTTCACACAATGACAAAATCACCTAATAACACACTTCTCAAAAGGTATCCCCATCATTAAGCAATGTATGACTGTAACTGTAACCGAGTCAGAAAAAAAAAAGAAAAGAAAAGAGAGAGAGAGAAAAATTCAGGATTACTAAACAGTTAGAAAGAAATCACGCCTGTAATCCCAGCACTTCAGGTGGCCGAGGCAGGAGGACTGCTTGAGGTCAGGAGTTCAAGACCAGCCTGGCCAACATGGTAAAACCCTGTCTCTACTAAAAATACAAAAATTAGTAGGGCATGGTTACACATGTCTGTAATCCCAGCTACTTGGGAGGCTGAGGCAGGAGAACTGCTTGAACCCAGGAGGTGGAGGTTGCAGGGAGCCGAGATTACACCACCGCACTCCAGCCTGGCGACAGAGCGAGACTGTCAGAAAAGGCGAACAGGAGGGGAGGGGAGGGAAGGGGAGGGGAAAGAAATCTACCTATTGGCAAAACAAAAACTAAGGTATCTAGCTTGGTATGAAAAAGATCTCCAGCTAGGCACAGTGGCTCACACCTGTAATTCCAGCACTTTAGGAGGCCGAGGTGGGAGGCTCGCTTGAGCCCAGGAGTTTAAGACCAGGCTGGGCAACATAGTGAAACCCCATTTCAACTAAAAATTTTAAAAAGTAGTCCCTAGTCCCAGCTACTCTAGAGGTTGAGATGGGAGAACTGTTTGAGCCTGGGAGACTGCGGCTGCAGTAAGCCATCATCACGCGACTGCACTCCAGCCTGGGCAATAGAGTAAGATGCTATTTCAAATAAAATAAAATAAAATAAAATAAAATCTCTCAAAGAATTTGTAACCATATTGACCATTTTTGGTTTGGGTTAAACAGAAATAATAATAAATATTTTTTTAAAAAAATGGATGAAAAAAAGAAAAAAAAGAGTTTATAACCAAAGGCCAGTGATGATGTGTGTTGGGATTTAAATTTTATCATGCCTGGGATCCAATTTGAATTTATTACCTTTGTAACTGGATTTGATATATTAATGTGCAAAGAGGTTCCACGGGTAATAACTCTGGGACATTTGGCAGAAATAAATATTCTCTCTAAAGAGACACAGACACATTCCAGCCAAGCCTTACAGGATACCCACAGATTAAGCCCTCCAAAAACAAGCTCCCAATCAAAAACTGCAAAACATACGAGGAAAAGAAACTCCAACAAGATTCAAAAGAAACCTTTAAAGTGATGAAGACATAAAAAGCAAATAAAACTCTTGAGACAAATGTCAAACAGGACTGGGAAGATCTGTAAAATAACCAAATAAAATTCATGAAAATTAAAAATATAATTATTGAAATTTAAAACTCAGTGGGTGAGTTAAATAGCAGATGCAACTCAGCTGAGAATAGACTCAACAAATGAATATGTACCTGAAGAAATTACACGGGATAAGATATAGGGAGATAAAGAGATGAAAAATATAAAGGATGTTAAGAGACACATTACATAACACGAAAAGGTCCAACATACATCTTTACAGAATTTCCAGAAGAGAATAAAGAGAATAAAATCAAAGCAAAATTTAAAAATACCACAGACTAAAATGTTCTAGAACTGATGAAAAGCAATAATTTTCAGATTCAAAAAGCACAAGAAGTTCCAAGCAGGAAAGTGAAAATATACCAATGGCATTATAGAGAAACTGCAAGAGGCACAGGAAAATTTTTCAGGCAATTGGACAGATTACTTACAAAAGACTGTCACGTAGACAGAATAACATAAGGTGGAAGTCAGCAGAAACTATCAATCTGAGATATCATATGCAAGTAAATTACAACTCAAAAATGAGTATTAAGACATTTTTGGCCAGGCACAGTGGCTCACGCCTGTAATCCCAGCACTTTGGGGAGGCTGAGGCGGGCAGATCACCCGAGGTCGGGAGTTCAAGACCAGCCTGACCAAGATGAAGAAACCCCATCTCTACTAAAAATACAAAATTAGACGGGCGTGGTGGCACATGCCTGTAATCCCATCTACTCGGGAGGCTGAGGCAGGAGAATCGCTTGAACCCAGGAGGCGGAGGTTGCGGTTAGCTGAGATCGCACCATTGCACTCTAGCCTAGGCAGTAAGAGTGAAACTCCGTCTCAAAAAAAAAAAAAAAAAACACCACACACTTTTTTGCCAGGCATGTAGTACACCTGTAGTCCCAGCTACTTGAGAGGCTGAGGCAAGAAGATTACTTAAGCCCAAGAATTGAAGGCCAGCCTGGGTAACATAGCAACACTCTGTCTCTAAAAAATTTAAGGCCAGGCATGGTGGCTGATGCCCGTAATCCCAACACTTTGGAAGGCCAAGGTGGGCGGATCACCTGAGGTCAGAAGTTCGAGACCAGCCTGGCCAACATGGCGAAACCACATCTCTACTAAAAACACAAAAAGTATCTGGGTGTGGTGGTAGGCACCTGTAATCCCAGCTACTTGGGAGGCTGAGGCAGGAAAATCGCTTGAAACAGGGAGGCGGAGGTTGCAGTGAGCCAAGATGGTGCCACTGCACTCCAGCCTGGGAGACAGAATGAGACTCCATCTCAAAAAAAAAAAGAAAAAAAAAAATTTAAAGACACTTTGAGATACACACTGAGAGTCTGCTTCCAAAGGACCCTTCACAAAGGAATTTCTAAAGAACACTGAAATCAGAAGAAAGGCATGAAATGCAAATAATAACAATGGGCAAAAAATCTAATAAGTATATGGGTAAAGCCGTTAACTTTATAAAACAGTATCATGATGACTAATGTGGGGGTAGAAAAATAAGATGGAACAAAAACAATAGATAATAATAACACTCTAACACCAGAGAGAGTAATCAAGAGTTAGTGTTCTAAATTTCAATTATTATTCAAGAAGAAACTATAAATATTAATTTACTTTAGGCCTTAATAATAAATGTACACATTAAAAATATTTGAGTAACCAGTAAAATAGTAGAAATAGAATGTTTACCTTCTACAATATGTTAAAAATATTTAAGAGCAACCAGTAAAATTGTAGAAATAGAATGTATACCATCTAAAACATGAAAGTAGGAAAAAGGGGATAGATTTAAATACTCAATGAACAGTACACTACTTGGAAATGGGTGCACTAAAATCTGACTTCACCACTATACCATTCATCAAAGTAACCAAAAACCATATCTATCCCAGAAGCTATTGAAATTTCTTTAAATGTTTTTATTTTTAAAAAGTCAACAAATAAAAGTCAGGAAAGGGGAAAAATAAAACATATAAAAAAGATAATAAATAGTATAAAATGAAAGGATAAAAATGAATCCAAGTATATCGATAATCGTAACAAATTTAACAAAATGCATTGGTTAGAAGACAGAAATATTTTATTCCTAAAAATGCTTTTTGCTTTAATGTTTTTCCCCCAATATTAATGTAGCTATCTATTTTCTTTTGTTAGTTTTATTTTTAATTGACAAATAATAATTAAAATGTATTTATGGGTAAAATGTGATGTTTTGATTTACGTTTATAGTGTGGAATGAGTAAATCAGGTTAATAATTAACAAATCACCACTTCACATAATTATCATTTTTGTGTGTGAAGAAAACATTTAAAATCTGCTCTTCCAGGCACGGAAAGACAAATTCTGCATGATTTCACTTATATGTGACATTTTAAAATGTTGGACTTACGGAAGTAGGGAGTAAAATGATGGTTATCAGTCTTCCTTTCATTTGT